AAAGTGGTTTTCACAGATGCCAAGGAGTTTCTTCAAGGCCCGATTCCTCCCAGCAGCACTGTGAGCAGAGGTGGGCAGAAGGCAGCCTCATCTTCAGGTGCCCTGTTTAGTGTGCTGGAGGTAAGCAGAGCTGAAATGAAGGCCAGTGTGCCCTGAGTTGAATTGTTGCATCAAAAATGAACCCTCTGGCTGCTCTCCCACCACAGCAACGAGACCTGTAAGTGGCTGGCTCCTTAGATCTGAAGAGCCTTGTGTTGCAAACCAGTTTGTGCTTGTGGGGCTCGTGGCAGCTCAGATGTTGCTCCAGTGCAGGGCTGTGGGACACAAGTTCCTCTTCAGCTTCTCCAGATTGAAGGTGTTGGAGTGAGCTGGTTGGATTTTGGCCAAGTGCTTCCCCTGTGTATAAGCAGTTGATGGGGTCCGGGTGGGGGTGTGGAAATACCTCCCATGTGTCAGGGTAGTGGACTAACACCGAGTGCTCGAGGAAGTCCTGCAGACCCGACTGCAGAACAGGGGGTTCAGAAGAGACTCCAGGATGGAAATAGTAATAGGCTGTATTGCTTGGTGTGGGTAGACTGCTCGGGCTCTGGAAGGGACTTGCTGACCTAATATTTCAAAAATGTCATTTGAGGAGCTGTTCAGGACTTGGCAGCCCAGCCCAGGACTTGCTACTCCTCTCCTTAAAGGGAGTTTCTGTTGCCGGTTGACAGCAGTCGGAGCAGATTCTTCATCCTGGCTGTGCTGCTGTGAGGGATCATCTGAAGGAAACACAGCACAAGCACAGGGTGATATAAGACAGGGCTGGATGTGCAGCCCAGCTCTGCCCCAAGGCAGGACTGAGTTCCTGCTGGGTGGTCTGACCTGAGCTGAAGGATGCTGGTGATGGAGATGACATCCTCTCTGTGCTGGTACATGTCTGCCTGCACCATTTACAAAACTTGACCTGATTCCTGACCTCGTTAGTGTATATTTAAAGCGGTGGACTAAAGCCTTTTGTGATCTTTGGGACCTCACTTTGTGAGAGTGCCTGTGAGTCCTGTGTGGTCAAGAGGCACCTAATGAATATGGCTTTCAAACAAGGTTTGGGTGTGGTGTCTCTGCCAGTCCCCATGCTGGCATGGAGGACATGATCCACGAGCATTTGAAGAAGTCTCCAGTTCTGAGCAGCAGCAAAATTGCTGCCTGAATGCTTTCCATGCAAATGTAGTTATTATTCACCATGACTTATTTCACTGCAAAGGCCCTTGGTGCCTCAGCACAGGGCAGATGTGCTCTGAGACTGAAAGGGGAAGCAGGATGAGGTGGGCTGTGGGCAGCGTCATTCCTCTTAACCTGGGAACTGTGACAGATGAAGCTGTAAAGTCACTTTTCTGGGTAGTGTGTAGCAAAATCAGGAAACGGAGCTGGATTTGCTGAGACCCAGGGCCGTTTAACCTCCCCATCCTTTCTCACAGAAACATTTCTAGTTAGCCAAATTGAAGGCCAAGCAGTAAACTAGATTTGCATTTTTTTATTTTTCAAACAATGCTCTGAGATACTTTATTGAGCAGCAAAACTAATTGTGTCCGCTCATCTCCCGCTCCGATGTACAATACAGAGATTTTCTCCAGAATCGTATTTCTTTCAAAAGGGTTTGTTTGTACCATGCTCTGCTCAGTGCCTGTCTGGGAAACATGTGCAGCCATTTGATAAATATATTGTGAAAAACACTGAAGTGGCAGCCTGCCTACAGCAGAGGAATAGCTACAGGGAAAAATGGTAAATAAGATGTGTGTAAGCAAATTAATTTTGCTCATATAAGCTTGTTTGCAGCTTTGGTTCATGTCTGCAGCATAATCCTCTGATCTAGAGCAGATGTTTAGTGTTGTGGGGGATCAGAGTGGTGACTGCACGAAGAGCACTGGGCCCAAAGCTGTGCAGGAGTTTGTAGAAGGTGGTGGTGTCTCTTTCACCAGGATTTCCCATCACAGCATGGTGCAGTTGTGTTACAGCCTGACAAACTGCAAATCCACCATTGATTTTTGCCTTGCCGAAATAAATAATTGCCTTTTGTACTGAGTTTTATGCACAGTAAGACTGAGCTGTGTGTAACTGATTTGCTTATTCAGAAACCATTGCTTTCCAAAGTACTTTTTGGAGGATTTATCAGTGAAAAGGAATCCTTCAAAACAGCAGAACCTGAAACAAAGCCCAACTCTACAGTTGAATTTCTTTTAAGTCTTGCTGGATTTTTTTTTACCATGTTTTATTGCTGTATGGGTCTGTTTGTTTTGATTGGATGAACTGATTTATGGGGTGTATCTTAAATTTCTCTATTTAAGTTGTCAGTTAGCTGAAGATTTATTTTGCAGCATGAGCTGTGCAAGCGTGGTTCTGCTTTTGGTGGGGTGACACCCCAGGGTGCCTGGTCTGGGCAGTGAAGAGCTACACGGGCAGCTAACACAAGCATCGCTGTCTGCTGGGACCTGTAAAGTTGCAGGTTGATTTTCTTCTTGATGCTCCCTAAGAGTGAGGAGAGTTGTGACCATCCAGAAGCTAAAGCTGCTGCAAGGAAAGGCTTTGGGTTTGTTTCTCTAAGCAGAAGTGCGAAGCCAGACTTTTAACACAGGGTGGAATCAGAGGTTCCCTCATATGCCATGTGCAGGCCGGATTAAATGGTGGAAGCATTTTTACTCCCTCCCCTTCATCTAAAATTGTTTCCCTGATTGAAGGGAAGGTGCAGGCTGGAGCACTGGCCTGCGAGGATTGCTGTGGCCCAGCCCCAGCGGTGCAGGGGGTGGTCATGGGGACTGGTGTTTTCCTGGCTGAGCAGAGAGGCCCTGGGAAGCTGCTGCCCCACAGGCAGGGCTGGGGGCTGGTCGGTGCTTCCCGGGGCCAAGACACTGACCTTCACCCAAAGCTGAGCGTGCAGGCATCCCATGAGGAGTCCTCAAGAGCATCTGGTTGGGAAACGTGCCGCTCCGCAGGCCCTGCAGCGCAAGGAAAAGCCTCTTCAGAGACAGCAGGGTGGCTACAGGCTTGCAGTTGCCCTGACCTGATGCTCCTAGGTCAGCTCAGAAGCTTTCCAAGTACAAATCTCACCCAAGCGTTTTGCAGACAGCAAGCCCTCTGCAGGCTTCCCACCGATCTGTTGAAAGGATCGTTGCTGAGCCAGCGCAGGGCTGCAGCTGCTTTCTCGCTTGACGCCTGGGTTTGGGAGAGCTGGGAGGACTAGCAGAGGGGGGCTGGCCTTGCTTTGCCTGGGGGTTTGTGGGACCATGTGCAATATGTGCTGGACCAAACCCTGCACCCCTTCCCTTGCTGCTGCGAGCCACCTACCAGTGCCTGCATCCTGGCTCTGAAAGGGATTTGTGCTTTGGGACTGAAGTGTTTAAATGTAGTTTTAATAGAAGATTCAAAGCTGATCTTGCTATTTAGTTACTGTTTTGAGTGAGTGACATTTTTGTCAATTTGTTTCAAACAAGCCTTCAGGAGAAGGGGGGAATATTATACCCTGGGGTGGAGAAGGAAGGGAAGGAGGTGACCAGGGGGCTGTGGGGAAGAATGTGTTAATTTGGATATTTCCTTTCTGTGACAGAGTGCCCATCATGTGTCCCCTGTGGTTGGCATGTGACCTAGGGTGAAGCCTCCCATCCAGTTCTTTCTTCTGTTTCCATATTGATATAAAAGATTCCTTGAGTTTAGCTGCTGTGCTTGCCTGGGGTACTTGGGAGGTTGTTTCTCCTTGCAGCAGAGTTCAGTCGTAGTGTGTTTAACTGAGCATCGTTGGGCAGCTTCAAGCCAGGCTCAGCCTTTGTTCCGTGCTCCTTGACAAGGGTGTTGTATATGTTCCCAGACTGATGCTGGATGGGCCTTTTTGAACTCGCTCGTCTTGACCCTTCCTCATGTAAATTAAACGTAGCCATCATGAAAACAGGGCAATGCAAGAATCACCAGCCTTGCAGGGATTTTTGTTCACAACCTGCTTTGCATGTAGAGAACCAAAGGTTGCAATATTTCAGAGTTAAGCCTATACTGAAATTCACTGGATGCAGTCCAGGATGCTGTGACTAAAACTGAGTGCTCCCGCACTGTCCCCAGGAACTGAGCAGAGGGATGAGCTGATGCATCCTGCAGCACTGCATCTTCAGAGGTGATTAAGGGATGACAGCCATGTGCTGCAGAGGATCATTTCCTGCTCTGGACTGTGCTGGGAAGGCTGAAATCTGTTTTAAATTGAGACTGAAATTACCATCCAGGAAACAGAGATTTTATTCAGCAGTTTTAGCATTGTATTGCATTTTTGTTCTGTAGATCTTTTCCAAAGGAAAAGCTGATTCCCACATGCTGGTAATCATTAAGTGTTGTTGATTTGCAGCTCAATATAGCTTTTATACATGGTAGGCAGCAAGGTTAACGTGTGTTTGCACACAGGCTACAACTGTGCGAGGCTGAGGTGACCCTGGAACCAGACTTGCTTTTAAATGCTGGCTTTGCTGTTGACTACATTGCAAATAACTGAGAGCGTGGAAGTTTCCAGCCATGATTTGGCTTCCAGGCCATTCTGTGACTCTCTAGGGCTCTACAGGACAACAGAGACACTGCTGTGGAGGCTGTGGATTTGTTGTTGTACACATTGGGTTTGGATTTGTACCAGAAGCTCTTGTACCCTATAAATAAGAATTCAAGAGGTTGAAAGTTTGACCCTTTACCCTTGGCTTGTTAAGAAGCTGTACTTCTCCGTTTATTGTAAGCTCTGGTTGGCTGTTGGTCTGGCAACAGAAGTTCTCTTTAGCTGTGTCACTTGTTGCGCATCAGATAAAATCTCATCTTTATCTCTTTCATATCTAGCTCGATGCTTGGGTTTGCCTTTCCTTTTGAGTGTTTTCAACTTGTTTACAGCCTGCCAGTGTTTTGCCCTTGCTTTCTTTTACGTTGGAAGAAGCTAGAGGATGGGTGTCTTGTTCATTCAGTACAGACATAACCATTATTACTCAGTTTACCTCTATGTTTCCTTTTAGGTATTTCATGGAGAGATTCCTCCATGCCACGTGCTGTCGGTGAGTGCTAGCATCGCAGCTCTCTGCAGTGCCATCTAAGCCCATACAAGCTGGACGTGGTGATGGGGGACTCTCCAACAGATGCTGTGGATGGAGGCATAGACACGTGCTGCAAAGACACACAGACTGAACTGGCAGAGCGGGTAGCAGCCATAGATGTGGCTGCTGGCCCAGAGAGAAGTGACCAAAATGGTGAAGACAACACTGAAGAAAATGACACAGTCTTTTCTGATAACATAAAAGGTATCCAAAGAAATGGAGTCAACAGTGACATGAGAATGAATGAAACTCTGCCTTACCAACGGTCAGAAGATGCTCACTGGAGGCATGTTCCCAAGAGACCTCTTACTAGACCCCTCCTATCAAGCAGGAAGTTGTCTCTTCAGGAAAGATCATCAGGAGGTTATTCGGCTTCTATCAACACTCCAGGTTATGGGCCTTATGCCACAGGGCCATCGCCACGTATAATGAGGAGACCAACGATAGAGTCCAATCGGGTCTCCATATCAGATTCTGAGGTAGGCATGTTCTCCCCTATAATTGTGGTGTTGAGGTAAGGTAAGTCTTTCGCAGTTGGTAATAAGTGTCATCAGCCTTTTGGAGTAGCAGATCTGAAAGCGCTGTTTTTTTTTTTTTTTCTAAGGGTGGAAAAAAACTCCCTGAAACCAGGGATTGTATTAGCTGGGAATGGCTGAACAACTTTGCCTCCATGCACCAGACCCTGCTGGGTGTGGCCCTGGTCCTGACATTGGCTCCTTCAGGCCTCACCTGCCCGGGATAGTCCTGTTGGGGGGGCTGGGACCCCTGTTGGGTAGTAGTAGCGTGCAGAAGGCTTGTCAGGTTGTTCAGGAAGGGCTACGGCCAAATGGCTTTGATCTCATGGCCCTGCCTGATGTACCTTTCAGGAGTTTATCAGTGACAGCAGCTTTGCTGCTCATATTTTATGGATTTAAGCTTCTAGATATCGTGTATCCTATTGAATTTTGCCATTAATGAAGGCATGATTTAATTTTATAAAGAGCTTAAATGCACTGGTGTTTCCTACTCCTGTCAGGATCTTCCTCTGTCTTTAAAGCATTTGTAACAGCAGTGGTAACGGAGGGCCATGACCCTCCTCTCCTTCAGAGGAGTGTCTCTGGGTGGCTGCAGTCATTCCTGCTCATCCGTCCTGCAGCTAGTCTCTCAGTATGGGACCTGGCTCAGACCTGTCCCAGAGGTGCAACACGCTGCTAGTGGTCAAGTGTATTGATGAAAGCAGCTGTTGGTTGCAATTCTGTGTTGTGCTGGTTGGAGAATCCTGTCCCCTTCTGCTGTTCCAGGCAAGGACAAGGAGGAAGGCATCTACAGCTGCAGCTTTTCTTTCCAGCCTTTCTTTCCCGCTGCTATGTGTACTGTGACGTGCTATCACGGGGAGAATTGAGAGGGGTTGCTTGGGCCACGCTGCCTGCAGCAGTGCCCGTGAGAAAGGGGCATGCAGATCAAACAGACTTCAGCAGGGCTTTCTTTGAAAGCCAGGCATGATGGAGGTGGTTTAAATGGGTGGTTCTTAGAAGCCAAAGTGATTTGTAAAATGTTACTGGCTGGGCAAAGATTTTAAGTAGGGAGTGGGCTGTCTGGTGCACTGGAGAGGGAACATCATCTCTGTGGGGCTGGCAGCTTGTTTGGGAAATAAGTCACACCTGAGTTATCCCCAAAGCCCATGCTGTGTGTTTCCTGAGATTTTTATCTACTACTTGTGGAGGAAAACCCCCCAAGTTTTCCTTGCCTCGCCATTTCTCTTCAGATGCTCACCCAGTGAATTTACCTCTGTGGCTGTGCCGGGGCACTGAAGCAGGACAGAGACAGCAGGCGGGGGCTGATGCCCGTCTGTGCCCATCTGACTCCTCACCCAGTCCATGGGGAACATGTTGCTGAACATGGCTCTACCAGTGCCACTGTGACAGTATGTTGCTCTTGGGCACTGGTGCTCCCAGCTGCAATGCCCAAATCCCACCATGGTCCCACCCTGTGTCATAAGGGACTGGAATCACTGGAGTTTAGACTTTTGCCAGCATGGATCCAAGTGACCTGGAGCTTAGCATCTCTGTGGCTTAGTGTTTCCCTCCTGAAAAGTGAGTGTTTTCCCATGGTACCTCTGAGAGGATGGGTGCTGTGCATGGCAAATCAGCTGTTGTCCTCTGGGAAGTTTTGCAAGTCACATTAGCTGTGAGATGGGCTGTGGCATCCCTGGCTGATAAGAGGATATCTGCAGAACGTGCACTGCAGAGATTGCAGCTTCTTTGACGGCAGCCGTATGCTTTAATAAGGGAGACGGGGTGGGAGAGGAGCCAGTTCTTGGAAGCTGACGTGACTTGTGTGCCAGCTCTCCCATCCTGCAGTACTTTGACTGTGCCAAGAGTGAGGCTTTTCTGAAATCTGTTTCAAAGTAACTGCAGTTGAGTGTGACTAGCACATTCCCATCTGCAAGCAAATTCAAAATACTCTGTCCTCTTACACAGCATCTCCATCCTGGGGAGCAATAGTTACTGCCTTGGGGTAGGAAATGTGTAGTTCGAAATGTTGCAGAGCCCTGCATTTCCGTGCTCCTGCAGCAATTCTTTACGCAGTACTGCGTTTTTAGCGGTCACTTTGATACAACTATTCAGAGCCCTGCTCTGGTGCAGCCCAGATGCTTAACAAAGCTGTGCTCATTGGAAACCATCATTCATATTAATGGTGAATTGCTGCAGTAGGAGGGGGAAAGGAAACCGGGCGAGAGCTGTGCATGTTTAGAAGGGGGGTGCTCGCCTTCGCAGCACTGCTCTCAGGAGCTGTGCTTCATCTTCCCAGCTCATAGGGACAGTATTTGTATCCTGTAAAGAATGGCAAAAGGAGTAGGAAGATGTATGCTTTTTTATAGGATAAAGTTTGAGGCTGGCCTCTGAATAATGAGAAATAAGTGTTAGGCGTGTGACAGCAAGGCGAGTGTGCAACCCGTGCGCAGCCCAACTCCAGCATCCTGTGTATGACCTACTAGTTGCCGCCAGGTGTTTGTTGCAGGGTCATTGTGTTCGTGGCTGTGAGAGGCACTGACAGCCTGTAACTGAGCTATACAGCAGCAAGCTCAGAAGAGAAATGGAGAGCAGATCTTGTGTTACACGCGTTTGCTCAGTATGTTTGCTGTAAGCAATTAGCAGAGCCTTGCATGTGGGCAGGGAACACTGAGCAGAGCCAGGAAGTAGGGGCAGGTCTTCTAAGAGAGGCTTTTGGCCCTATAGGGGATAAAATAGCCCTGTGATGAGAAATACAGTCATGGTGTACCTAGCAGCAGCTGCTATTGTGTTTTCTGTGGATCATTTTGATATGCAGACCCTCAGTAAGCAGGGAGGCTGGTAGGTCACTCTGACAAGCTCCAGCTCACCGGTCGTAGTGTTGCCCCTGGTCTCCCTGCAAAGGACTGACACATCTTGTTCTAGGAGAGCTGCACATGCGTACTCAAGCCTATATCTCTCACCTGCTTAAAGCCATTTCAGAGTTGCTCCTTTCTCTTTGCATTGAGTATCTGGAATCATCAGTCAGTGCCTTTCGGGTAGCAGAACATCCATCACTTTGGCTCGTGGCTGCTGCCCGAGTGAGTTACAGTCTGTGCAAAAATGAAGATGAAGTTCATGAGCGTTTGGGCTTTATCAGTGGCACACGTGCAGGCACGGTCCATCAGAAGCAGAGAAGGATGGCACAGCTGCATATCAAAATTTCCTGTGTTATGCTGATAGCCATCTAGGATTGACTCTGCTTTCCCTCTCCAGTGATAGCAGGAGTGACGGCTCACTGCCTTGCTGTCAGCAGTTCTGTATCCTTGACTGATCTGGAGAAATAATGGAGAGATGTGCTATGGGGAGGCAGAGGTGAATTTTCTGTTGTTCTTTGCTGAATCATTGAAGAACCATGTGTTCAGTTAGAGATGCTGCTGAGCTTTTTAATGCCGGTTTAATACTTGTTCACAGGCTGGCAGGAGAACTTGTATTCAGGGATCAGAGGGTCAAGAGCTGAAGCTGTGCCCGTGATGCTGAGGGTTTCCTCGGTGCTGCGAGCAGACAGCGAATGGGGCCATCTCATCCCCAAGACCAATACTGTAAATACCTGCCTTCTGAGCAGGGCTTCTTTGGTTTTATTATTTAAGAAGATGGTGGCTCCTGAGCTGGCAGGGCTGCAGCAGAGCCAGGGTTTGTCTTGCACAGAGGAAGTTCCTGACCAACTGAGCAGAGCCACCAATTAGCTAATTGTCCTGGGACAAAGAGTTGGCAGCTGCTGGTGTCTTGCAGCTGCTACTGACGAGTCTGGATCTGGGTAGAGATGTTCCTTGTTGGAAAGTGGCATTTGAAAATACAGTACTGGTTTTCATTATTCTGCTGTCCCAAACCAATCTTCTAGGTAGCCAAGAAAAGTCTTACTTGGAGAGTGGCTAGAAGAAGAATAAAAGATGTCTTTTTCCAGGCTTTCTTCCCAGACCTGCCAGCACAGTTAATTGCTTTACGCCTTCTCAATCTCTGGCTGAATTGTCCTTTCTTTTTCACATGTTTCCTTCTTCTCCCCGTATCCACCCACTCCCTGGCATCCTGGTGTCAGCGTGGTCTCCCCACCCTGGGGATCAGCAGGAGGCTGTCCCAGCTCCCCGCTGCCTGGGCAGCCCAGCACATCGTGGCGGTGGGCTGGGGCCGTGTGTGCTTCAGCAGGAGTGGAGGGGATGAGTCAGGGACAGTGTGTTCTCCCTCGGTGCTGCTGCTGGCCGGAGCATGCAGGGAGGAGGACGGGCTGACAAAGGGAATTTTCCTTTGCTTCGTCTGTGGCTTATCCCAGAGGCATGGAAAATAAGCTGCTTTTGTCCTTTCTTTCCTTGGCTTTCCACATCTTTATCATAGGCCTCCTGCTTGTTTGGCCAACTGGTTTGAAGCAACTGGTGTTAAGAGCTGTGAGAGAGGTAGTGCTTTGGTGCTGGGCCTCACACTCCTCCAGTCTCTGGCGGCTGCCTGGTTTTCTTCATAAGGTCATAATTTCCTTGCCGTGCACCAAGGCAAACCCAGGTGGGACCAGGGCAGTGGCAGGGACCGAGGTCCTATGCAATGTGGGCTGGAGAGCTTCCCCTTCCAGCCCCTAGAGTCCCCCAAACTAATTTCTTCTGGACATCTTTCTGTGGTGCTGTAACTAGAGCTTTCTTGAAAAGATCAAAGATACTTGGAAAACATTTCTTCAAAGAAAAATCCCCCACAGGCATTGCTCATTTATTTTCCTTGGATTAATTAACCTTTATGTAAAGTTACATTTCCAGCTTGTCTAAGGGTAAGGTTTGAGAGGAGGAAAAAGCCCAGAGCTGCAGTTGCAGAGGGGCTGGAAAGGAGCTGCCTTCATCCCACAGGTCCCAGCCCCCTTTTATTCTTGCAGCCACTCTCCCAGTGATACCCCAGGGACCCAGTGGGTGCCCGAGCTCCTGCATCCAGCGTCAGGGTCTCGGGTGGGTGAGCCCAGGCAGCAGTGCTGAGCCTTGGTGCTGCACTTTCTCCTCAGCCGTGGCCGGTGTTCCTGCCAGGAGCCGGTCGTGATGCTGGGCTTCCAGGTTTGCACTTGTTTGGGGATGTTCTTTAAAAATTTGTTTATTTTTCTTACTTTCATGAGCTCTGGGCTTCCTCTGTGTCTTTCTCTGTCCTAACAACTTTCTAATTTCTATTACTTGTTACTCCTAATACCCCTTTTCTGGCTTTTATTTTCATTTTGTTTATTTTAAGAACTGCTTTCACTTCCCCTTCCAAACAAAATGAGTTTAAACCAGTGTTATCTTCATTACTGGCTTTTAATTCCCCTTTTTTTTTTTCCCCATGCTTTTCTTTAAAGTGTATGTCTGAATTACTGAAACTTAGAACTCTTTTGAGATTGGTGAATTTGGCTTCTTTAGGGGGCAAAATTCTCCATTATATATGTATGTAGGCAGTCTAATTGTTTTCAGAAATATCTCACTTTGGAAAGCAACTCTGGCTTTTCCTTCTCATCCCTGTGTGTCCATGTCCTGTCTGTCCTGTTCTATGTCCCACCACCCCTCCCCTGGACAGCAAAGGCTGAATACTCAATTTCTCAGGGTTTCTGTCACCCAGCAGCGTCACCAGTGGATTTATGGAATTGGGCCAGGACTCTGGATTTAAGCGTGCTTTATGATTTTTGATAAATTTTTGCTTTGTGGCATTGACTTCCCCCTCTCTCTCCCCTTGAGTAATACCTTGGACATGTTAACTAATGGGGCATCTTGTTTTTTAAGGCAGAACAATTATTGCACACTTGGAGGGACACAGCAGTCTAATTTGCTGACAGGTTTTTACTAAAAGATCTCATTAGGTTTTTGCTCTGTTCTTATTTATCTTCAGGTGCAAATACACTGGGGTGATGAAATCAAGGGGATTATATAATGTTATCTTTAAGGAACACTTGGCCCAGAGATAGGTGTTTTTCTCTGATAAACGAATAGTACAATTATCCCACTTCCTGCAGGAGAAGCAAGTAACAACCCTGCCAGTCTGCAGCAACACGTGGCAGGAGTTGCTTGAGCTGTGAATTACGGTCTTTCTGTGAGGGAGGGGAAAAGAAAGGTAGAAAGCACCTATAATCTGGTTTGATTTTTGCTGTGTTCAGCTCAAGTGCTCAAAGCATTGCAGAAGCTAAGATGATAGTACTTCTCACTGGTAATTATCAGAGTGGAGGGCGATGGTGTGGATCTGGTTAGGGATGCAGTGATAGCATGTGTGACCTCTCGGAGGCTGTGCTGTAGACCCTGTCATGGCCTTTCCCTAGGACACTCTCTGGGTGTTCCCATCCCGGTATTTATCCATCCCTTTCAAAAAAACTGTCCCCCAAAGGTGGGTGTTCTAGCATTGCCTGCAAGTTCCATTTAGCAGCAGTGAAAGATCAGAGACTTGCTTCAGGTGATCGGTCTGGTGCGGGGTAAGAGTGGTAATTTCTAGCTAGAAGTGAGAGCGATGGTGGGAAGGTGATGGTGAGAGTCAAAGAAATTGGTGTCTTGGACACTGGGACAAAGCACAGTCCTTTCTCTGTTGCTTAAATTCTTTGTAACAGAGATTACCCAGCTGGATGGACTGTGTCCCACACAAAAGACTGCTCCTTCAGGAGGGAGGGGAAAATGCCACTGTGGCTCCCTTGACAGTGTATTGGCAAGAAGAAACAGCAAACTTGGCACTTTAGAGATGGGACCTTGGCTTTAAACAATGTATTGAGTGCAGACCAAAGAGACTATGGCTACAAGTAAAAGGCTGTATTTACTTTTGCAAATAATCCCTATTTGGGGGAGGAGACCTGCTAACAGGACCTGGTCACTGTAAGCTTGCTGGTTTGAAGAGCAGGAAATACTGAGGTGGTTGGAGGCTTTCTCAGAGGGTTGATTGCTTTTCCTACCTGGATCAGCCACTCTGAGTGTTTCCCCATCTCTGCAGCACTGCAGTTTTGCACAGGACAAGGCAAGGGATGTGAAGCTGAGCACGGGGAAACCCAGAGCAGGAGACATCAACAGAAGACTGTTCCTGTTTAATTTGTGAAAATCACCGCGATGCTAAAGCATAGCCTTGTGCTGGGAAGTGAATCTGCTGACACAGTGTTTGCAAGGGAATTTGTCCTCCACGTGTCCGTACCCTGAGTTCCCTCGTGCTGCCCCCTCCTTTGAGGAGGGGAGTCCTTTCTACAAAGTTCAATGGGATTTTTCTTTCCCATGTATTTCAGTGCCCTCATGCTTTACATCTTGGCTTTTGCTGGGTCATACTCTCTCCTTTCTTGTTGCTCCTAGTTCTGATGGATTGCGTTTTGCCTTTGGAAGGATCAGTGCTTTGCTAGCAGCAGAATTAATACATTTCTATGGCCCTCTTACTTGCAGTTGGCTCTTCTTCCCTGTCAGGGCGGTGGAAAAAACTTCCTTCACTGGAAACAAGATAAAGATTTAAATCATTCCTTGTATTCCTGACAAGCCACTGCTCAAAAGCTTAAAAAGTCATCAGTTCCCCATTGCTTTATTCTCCTTCACTGTGATGATTGCCTGCATTAGGAGTGTTTTCTGGTTGGTGATGGGGAAATGTCAAAATTATCATCTATCACATCTGTGCTCTAATGCATCCTGAGAGACAGAGAAGTGTTGCTTTTGGGGGGGATGCTGCAGAGGCTGGGGCTGTAACACCCCCTGTTCTTACAAATGGACTGAAGGCACCTGGCACCACTTTGCTGTCCTGGCATTGCTTCTGTAGGTTGCAGGGCTATTTTGAGGTTTATGGGAAGGCTAATCTACCTGTCTGCATATTTTATATCAGCTTTGTTCCCAAAGAAGTGCATGGTGCAGAAGTTGGATGTGAATTTCAGTACTCCTTTAGTGCTTGGCAATCTCAGGGAGAAATACAGTGTTCATAAATGCTGTCTGAGGGAGTGTATCCCATCTAAGGTCCAGCCCACACCATGTGCGGTGGTTGGAAACTCCCCTCCTCCCTCACCCTGCCGTGTTTGGTGCTCTCCCTACCCCTGCAATGCAGTTAAGACCTGTGTGTGAAGTCAGGACCAAGGCAAAAACCACTGCAGCCCACCTTCCCCGGAGCCAGTGCTGCAGAGATTGGTACGAGAGCACTCAGACTCTTTTTCCAAGAGCTTCACATTGCAGCAAGGTGTGTGCTGTCCTCCCGCAGACCCGTTGTGGTGGCTGAGCCAGGCAGGACCCCGGGGTGCTCCCCAGCAGCTGGGCAGGACCCCGGGGTGCTCCCCAGAAGCCGCAGGGATTGCTCAGTGCAGGCACTGCACCCTGCTCGCCCTGCGCTCGTGGCCTTGAGCCCCCTGGACTTCTGCAGCATCTGGAGTTTTCTTCTTGTAATTAATGAGGGTGGAGAGGTCAGCTCCAAGTAAGATGAAGCTGTGGAGGTTTTGCTGCTGCTGTAGGAGTGTTTTCCTTTAGGTAGTACAACACTAAAGGAATGGTGGATTTAACATCAGATGACTGCATGGCTCTTCTGTTTGACCTTGCTTTCTAGCAGTTGATGCCTGGGGCCACCATCACTCCCTGCACTGCTCTTGGTCTGTCAGGTAACTTGGCACCCCATCATTACACCCTTGTCACAGCTTGCTGGGGGTCTGCATCCACTACCTTCCCACCCTTCGGGGTTTCAGTGCTGGATAGCTTACAAACAGAGATCAGACCTGCTTAGGGGTGATTTATTTTAGCAAATACTGTATCAGCTTAAGAGAATCCGTTACTGTTTGTGTTGCATAGCAAAGGAGCTCAGCTCTGTGTGCTCTCCTCAGAGCAGCCCACGATCCAGGTGAGGGTTCCTCTGGGTGCAGCCACAGCCTTCGTGCATGACCCGCAGAGGCTCCTTGTCTTTGCCAGCCTGATGTTGGGAAGAGCATGGGCTCGTGCTGTGACCGTGGGACCTGGTATGGGTGCCTGGGTGCTGGGAGCTGCCAGGCCCAGAGAGCCCCATGCAGTCGGGGATGGGTGATTTTCTGCTTGCTATTGAGCAGAGTCCAATGTGGATGGTTAATATAAAGAGGCCGGAGGCTGCTGTCAGGCTCACGGGTCTGAACTTGAAGTGATGCTGGGGAATCGGGGTGGAGGGGCCTCTGGTGTTATGCCAGCACAACCAGAGTCAGAATTCAGCCTGTAATTGCTTTGTCCTGAGCTGTCAAAAAAAAAAAAAAAAATGCAGTTCTAGTATAACATGCACCAGTATAAATAAGATTTAATCTTTCATTATTCAGCATTCTGCCTCTACTTGACACTGATTCAAACTCAGTCATTTCCTTTTACCAATACTCTAATTATGTTCTCCTTTTGATCTGCAGGACTGCGTGCAATTAAACCAGTACAAGCTGCAGAGTGAAATAGGCAAGGTATGTTACTGGAGCTCGTGTTTGTCACGAGCAACCTGCATGCGCACGCGAGTATGGATGGAAAGACTGCACCAGTCCAAGGGATCTTACTGGTCAAGACTCCTTGCAACTTGTATTTGTTTTGGGTTTTTTTGTCTTATTAGTTTGAGCAAGTTTTTTCAAGGTCAAAGTGGAACTACTTCCTCTGAAATCTAAATTTATTTTCCTTCCCTCTGAAGGTGATTAAGCTGGCTTCCTTCCAGGGTGTTTGCTTGCCAAATGTAACACTAAGAGCCTTTGATGCATTAATACAACCCAACAAAGAAAGAAAACAAAACCAAGATCAGGGCAGGTGTTTGATCCCCATCAGGACTAGTTTAAGTTTTTATGTGTATGAATGAAATGCTAGTTTAATTGTAATCCACGTTTAAAAGCTGCAGAATGATTCGGAAGAGATTCCTCCAAAGTTATTTAGAGGTCTGGGCTGGTGAGCAGTTCAGACACCTGCACATTTGGATGTCTGCCACCATTGCAGATGGGGCCACAAGTGATGGTGCTGTCTGGAAGCTGTATCTACCTTTGCAGTCAGAAGGGACTGCACCCTGAGCTGCAGAGACCTTCACCAAAAGTTTTGTTAGACCAAAGTCCTCTCCAAAGTGAGAGGCCCCAGGCTGTGGGAGGAGGCACCCTTACTGTCTGCACAGTGGGCTGTGTGCTTGGCTGCTGGCAGTGAGGGTGTAAGGCTGGACTTACCACTGCTGGTGGTACAGCAGATGTCATCTGAAACTCAAGCACAGCTTCAGACCTACTTAGAGGTTTTGCCATCGGCTTAAGTGTGGCTTAAGGAGAGTGTGAGGCTCTTTCTCTGGTGGATTTGCCCCTGCTGCCTCCTTTCCTGCGAGTTGCAGTGAGCAGATAGGCACTCTGAGGTTGGTAGATGGTCTGTGGGACCTGCTGTGCTTCTGGATCAGCCAGATGGCTTGTCGGTCTCCTCTGAGACCAGGACCTTTGTTCCAGCTCTCAGTGAAGTCAAAAGAATTGTTTTGAAGGCTGTAGTGTTCATCCATTCATTTATTCAACAGGCATCTGTCAGGGATGATATTTAGCCATGGTGTCATGTCTCGCTTACGTTTTATGCATAGCGTTGACACAGAATTGCAAAAAAACAGGGATTTGGATGGAGTTTGGCTTCAGGCTGTCACTGGAGCTGTGGATACAGGAGCAATCTAGGTCTGCATCTGCCTGGGGAACATGCAGTTGGTGGAAAACAGGCAGCTGGTCTTCACTGAAGCCCATTTGCTATCAAGAGATGGAGAGGTTTCATGCTGAAAATGGTCTTGCATAGGACAGGAAAGGTGTTTGTGCAGAATTTCCAAACTTGCACTAGAAGATTATTCTCTCCACTCCCCACCCACATTTGAGTTGACAGACACAGTGGCTTTGGCTCAGGGTAGGAGGTGATGGGTTTACACTCAGCTCTTCCAGACATTGTTAATCCTTAAATGCACTGTGGCTCCAAACAAGCTGCCAAAATGTACGACCTCGTTGTGGGGTCACATCACCTGCTGACTTTGCTCAGGGGCAGGCATGGCCTGGGGCCTTGAAGGTTGTTTGGTTTTTTTGTTGTTTTTTTGTGTGTGTTTTGGGTTACACACACACACACACACACACACCCCGTCCCATGTAAGGCCATGGTCTACCAGCCTTGAGCAGCAGGGAGATGAGATGAAGCTGTTGAACTGACTGTGCAACTTGTGTTTATTTTTAGGGTTCTTATGGTGTTGTGAAACTGGCCTACAATGAGAACGATGACAAGTATTATGTAAGTGTCTCTCTCCTCCGCTCCTTGCTGCTCCTCCTCATTTCCCCTTTGCCCTCTCAGAGCTAGGTCCCCTCTGCCTTGCTGCTTTTAGCATATGCATTTCTGATTTGGAGAGCATGTGAGGAATTGAACCTCCCTGCTGTGCACAGAGCTGCTGCTTGCACGCCTGCTTGCATGCAGTGCTGAACAGGAGGGGAATCGGGTGGGCTGCCTTATATAACAGGCAGGGATCTTGGAGGCAGGCTGCAGAAGCGTATCACTGATTTGTCTTGACATTTTCTAGCTATGAAGCAGGTCACCTGAAATTAGAGGCATGTGGGTGGTGGTATTCAGCACCTGCTGTGCATTGGAAGATGGGCTTGGAATGAGCAGGCGTGTTTTGTAAGGAAATAAGGGCATTGATCAGAAGCTGCTGAACAGCGTGGCCCAGCTGGGCAGTGCCTGGCTCCCCTGCATCGTACCCCCTTGTGGGATGCCTCCCTGTACCACCTCCCTGTCAGGTCATGAGGTGTAGGGTGCAGGGCAGAAGCCAAACCTTGGCTTTTAAATCCTTTGCTGAGCTGAAGACAGAGTTGAAAGGTTTCAGATTCAAAAAAGCTGCTTATGCTGAAGGCTCCTTCTCCATCCCTCTCCTTTCAGAGGCAGGTGAATCCTAACCTTCCGGGCTGGGATTCCTGCAAAATCTGCCTGCAGATGCATTTAGTCCCTGCACTTACCCTGGGGCACGTTTTATTCAGTCTTGACAGCAGGAGCTGGACAGCTGGCAAAAGGAAAACTGCCTTACTGTGTGTGGCTGTGCCTGAAGGCTTGTGGAAACAGCTCTCAGCAGGTTCTGGTGGATCCCAGGGCTGGTATCTGCTGAGCAGAGCTGGCTGGCTACAGTGCTGTTGAACCTTAACGCAGCCCTGACCCTGTGCTGCAGATGCTGCTCCGTGCTGTGTTTGGTGAAAGGGGTCCTGCTTTCACTGCTGCGATGGAGTGTCCTCACGTGAGTGAAAACGGGCCCATCAGAGCACCCGGGCAGGCTCGTGTGCTGCTCCCTGTCCCACTGCGCAGAGCTGTTGGTCGTAGCACAAAGGGGAATAAGAATATGCCATGGAGATGTGAAGCGTGCTCATTCCCCGCTACTCCCCGGCTAGCTTTTCCTCCCTGACTCTTGGATTTACAAGTGACATACCAGGTTGGAGGGGCGGGGTGGGAGTTGCATGCCTGGTAGTATTCATTAGCCCTTGTGCACTTCCAGAGGGCATGAAATTGCAGGAGAAATGTCTTGAAATGAAGGATGGAAGAGATGAGACAAAAATCTGGATAAGGTGCCCTGGAGCTGGCCCAGCAAAGGAACCACAATTCTTTCCATCCCCTGTGCCTTCCAAGCTGACTCACCCGCTGTCCTGGAGCGGTTGCTGTTTCTGATGGCTCCCTTTCCCCACTGCCCTCTGCATCCTCCCTCCCGTGCCCTGCAGCAGGGCGATTTTGTTCTGCAGGGAGCGATGGTGCCAGCAGTGGCTTCCCTGGTCTGTCTGTCCTGCCAGCACAGGCAGTGCCAGGACCAGTGGCAGAGAGAGGGAATGCGTTGCATCACATTTATTTCCAGCTGAAAAATCTTTTGCTTTGAAAATTGTAATTTTGCGTTGAAAATTTACATTTATGGTGCTGCCCGATGCTGTGCTGTGGGCTGCCCAGGGCAGGCAGGGCAGTTGTCACAACTTGGCAGGAGAGCGCTGGGTTTAGGTTGTTATTCCTGCTGCGTTCTTATCTGGGTTTTGGATGTGGGTTAAAGCTGTGGATGTAGATTTAGCTGGTCAAATCAAAGCCAGAAGTGAAAGCCTGAGTCCAGGTTAGCCTGGTGTGTGTTAGTTAATCCTCACTTAATCTCCATTTCTTTTTCTAATCTAAGCAAACACTTTAAAGCTGTGACAGCCCAAGAGTGGATCCCATGCTTGAACACTTCTGTTTCAGCCTCGCTTCCCAGAGAGGGACAGGGACGCAGAGCCCTTTCCTGACAGCGTTGCAGGGACATGCTCTGTGGTTCACCCCAGTCCTCCCGTTGTGGGGGTTGAGGCAGGGTCTGAACCCAGATCCCGGGAGAGACCGTGGGGCTGGGAGGTGTGTTGAGTGCTCCAGTGGATGGAGAGATGGGACCGGAGCGAGAGCATCGGCAGGGTCTGCCTGTGTTTTACTGCACTGGATGTCAGCCTGCGGGAGAGGAAGGGGCGGATGGCTGCACTGCTGCCCAAAGGCTCTGATGCTGAGGTCTGCGTTTCCAGGGCTCGCTACCCCTTTTGGCTGGGGAGCTTTCCCCCTACCCCAGCTGCAGTCCCAAGCAGACAAGCTGTGGCCCCCTAATTCTTCCAGGTGCTTGTGTTTTCCACGGGGGCAAGCTGTGACGGAGAGGCCTCCGCTTTCCCAAGATGCTAAAACAGCCCAGGAACTGGCAGACCTAAAGCTACAGAGAAATAGCAGCAAATTCGCATTAACTGGCTAATGGTTGCTTAGCTCCCCACGCTTCCCAGTGTGTCTGACCCATGTGCTCTCCCAGTGCTGAGAACTTCCACGCTGCTCTGCTTATTGTTCCTGTCCGACGCTGCGCTGCAGCGATGCCCCCTGACCACCCCGGGGGGATACCTCATGCAACTGCCTGCTACCAGCAGTTAGTAGAAGCAATTGCAATTCTGGTAGCTGGGAAGGGCCTTTTCTGTGTGTTTAGTTTTCCCTAATTTAGCTTTGGAGGATATTTTTTTGTCTCAGTAGTAAAAAAGCAATAACAGATAATTGTAGGAAATCAGCCCCTGGTTGGCCCTTAGTAGGCAGCCCGGAATAACCAATTCACATTTGCAGTGTTTCAGCATGAGGCCAGTGTCTCTGCCTGCTTTGTTTTCCTTAAGTTAGTGTGCTGCATTAAAAAGGAGCAAAACTTTAAAGAAAGCAGAATATTTTGGAGTATAATTCAGAGTATATCCTGATTCTTGCTGAGACATGGGGCCCTTTGCTAGCTTTCTTCATAAATGCAGAGTTTATAGGTACCAGGAACTGTATCTAGCTCCTGTTAAAGCAAAAGGAAAAATTCCTTCTGCTTTAACGAGTTTTAGATCTGGCCTAGAACTAGGAAAAACTCCTTAAAAAAAGCTGATCACCACATTTGAGAAAAATGTAAATGGATTGTATTTACTTTGTGGGTTTCTTTACCTTCCATTAAAGATGAGCGAGTGCTTCCAAGAGCTTTATCCTTCGTTGCTGTGAACAACCGCAGTGCTGCGAAGGGCTGTGAAAGTGTGCTGACTTACATCAGTGGATGCAGGGAACGTATTAGCCCAGAGAAATTGAACTTTCAGCACCAAGTGTGTGATGCAGTGCTCCTTCCAAGGAGGAGACCCTGTTGGGGTGCGGAGCTGGTTCCCAGAGCAGAGGTCCCTGCCACTGCGCTCGCTCCCTGCTGCTGCTGGGGCATGAGAAGCAGCTACAGCAGCATTTGTGGGGCTCTGCCAAGGAACCTTTTACAGCTGGAAAGGTTTCAATGTCTCAGTTTGCAGGAGATGCGTTGACAGTGTCTAGGGGGGAAAAAAGAAAAGCCAAGCTCTGTGAAAAAGCAGCAAACAAAAAGCAAAGGGAAGTGTGTCCAGGGGTGGAGATCTAGTTTTAGAGTCATTGTGCTGATGGAATTTGATTCTGTGATGCCTTGGGTTATGTCTCCTTCCTATTTTCAATCTCTAAATCATCTTGCAAAGAAACGTGGTTATGATGGACATCTGTTATGCTACTTCTGGACAAAAGCAATAGCATTGTAGGTTGTCAGTGAGGTTTTTTTATTATTATTTTTTCTTTTTTTCTTTTTAAATCTGGTTTCCTAAGAAACAAGACTTGTGTGATTGTGCTCTCTGCCTGTGATTGTAGCTAACAACCTTTGCATGGAGGGCTGTTTTCTACCAACTCTTAATGATGAGGAGAAATCCCTTCCAAGTTTTTGGAAAGAGATGGCTGAACAAAGTGCTGCAGCTGAGGGAAAGGTGGCCAGCAGCAAGTCTTGAACTTTCTTGCCCCTGGAGAATCCATCTTGGTTGCCACCCAGGTTGGAAGGGAAGGAACAGCTCCCATGTTTCTCATCATCATGCTCACACAACAGCTACTGAACTGCTGCCAGCTGCATTCCAGCGCAGTGAAGACCAGGGCGATGATCTCTGCTTTATTTTAACACCCTGTGCTGTTCATCAGTGGGGTCACGAGGAGCTGGGTCACCCGGGGTAAGAGCAGGAGCCTCAGGGAGATGTCTGGAGGCAGGCGAGCACAGCTGCTTGCGGAATGCACCCCTGGTTGCGGTGCTGCTGGCCTGCGGTGCGGACGGGGCACGGCCTGCCGCTGTAATTCTGCTGCTGATGTGACGAGTGGTGTCTGTAACAAAAGGTGACAAATGCAGGAGCTGGATTTTGCGGCCATTGCACCTGCCTGGTTTAGGCTTTTCAGTGTGTAGCACTTTTCTCTCTTGGCAGAGCTTCCTTCTTTGCCACTTTCTCTGAGGAGTGGTGGTGTTCAGGCAGGACAGGTGAGGAAGGGCTGGGAATGCTCTCTGGTCTGCTCAGCACTACCACAGAGCACTGTCACCCACTAGCAGAGGATTTGGGTGGGTAATAGAGACCTTTGAGCAACATCCCTCTCCCCTGTGAGCTGCGGGTAGGAACTGTGCACAGATCTTCTGCCCTCGCAATCCAAGTGTCTCTGTTAGCAAATAAAATTACATCCCAAGTGCTGTGAGAGCATCACAGGGGACAGGTGACAAATTCCTTTGGCTCAATCAATTTTACCACCTTTCCCTCCCCCAAATAATGGCCATTCTGCTGTTGTCATTACCAGCAGCAGGATGCAGGCTCAAGATCTTGCTGTTGTGAAAGCTACTGTGTGCCAGGCATCCCTCCTCTGTAAACCTGGGATCTCCTTTCCCTTGGGCATCCTCATGAAGCAGCTTCCCTGGGGCTTCCAGCTGCAAGGCTGCCAAGAAGAGTGCAGTAGACTTAAATAATAAGCGTACATCAAAGGAAATCACACAGTTCCTGCTGCCTCTCACAAGGAAATGTCACGACCCATGTCCATAGTCGGAAGGAAGGTGGGTGTGGGGGCATGTGTGGAGGAGATCTCTAGGCTCCCTCTTTTCCTGAGGAAGCTGAAGCGGTGCTTGCCAGTGCAAAGGGAAGATGCTTTGGCTTGGCTCTGAGCTGGTTCCTTATCAGAAAGGCATTATCTGGGTAATTAGCTCTGCCTGTGAGTACAAATGTCTTTGGCTCTTTCATGCATGTGAGCCCGGAAGGAGAGGTTTGCTGAAGCATCCCCGAGTTGCTGCCATTATGCGCAGCTACAATTCAGCAAGGAAGCCTTGCCCTGCCAGATTGTGCTGTAATTAAAGCGAGGCTTCACTGCCATGTGCTCTCATCTCTGCTCTTGTGATAATTGAGTGGCTCTGACCCATACATCATGAAGTTTGCTCTTCATCTCCCTGTTTGCATTTGATAGTGCAGTGGGACAGGTCCTCTCTTCTGATCCATCGCTGCTTGTGCAGTAGCAGATACTAGTGCTTTGAAATTGTTGTAAGCATGTTCTGGTGCTTCTTCCATGGCAGTAGAGGTGGTTTACAGTCAGCTCACCTACGACACCGTAATCCCCACACATCTCCCCATTGCCTCTTGTAGCAACCTTCAAGGACTTTGGGTGACAGTAGCTCTTGTTCCTTCCATTTCTGTCCCAGAGAGAAATTCTTGTGTTTGCTGTTGCTGCTCTCTGTACCTTCCTGCTCCCTCCAGCCTCTCCCCAGAGCCTGCCCTGGGAAGGACTAGCCTGATGCAGGCACGACTGGTGGCGATGGTTCAGTTCCTCAGGCTGGGTTCCCCAAGCATTGATGCAACTTGGGAGCTTTCAGCTGTGAATTGCACCTTCTATTTATTTTTCTAAAGCTCCTTGCCAGAAGGCAGAGAGGACTCAAGGTGGGATTGGCGCAAGGGGAGCCTTTTCCTCCCAGGCAGTGGCAGTGGTTGAAAGAAAAATAGGTGTATGAATTCCTTTGATTTTTTTTCCCATAAATTTTCATTATGGAGAGATAAAAGTGAGGAGTGTAGGAATTCCTCCAGGCTTGGTCCTGGCCATCCTCAGAGGTGGTTGCGCACATCTTGGATCCTCTTTCAGCAGACCATGAATCATTTGGCTGTCTCTGTTGGACAGAGCGCTGTGCTAAGTAAAAGATAAGCACTTCTGAGTCTGTCTCTCAACACTGTCATTTCCAACAGTTGACTCAGGAGCTGTCAGGCAGGATTGAGAACTACACAGTGTCTCTTCTCAATTACACGGGTGCAAATCCAGAGGATTTCACTGGATCACTACCAAAAATAACAATCCTTTCAGCGAGCCGTGAACCTGGCTGCAGTGGGAGCACTGACAGGAGATGGGGATCCTGGGGCACGCAGTGGCATCACTGCCAGGAAAAACAGCTCGGGAAGGAGCTTGCTGAAATGGTTCCAGTGGCTTGTTCCTGCTGTATGTGTTAAAAACAGGTAGCATGCAGAGCCTGCCTTCATGGTATTACTGTAAAATTCCTTGGCATTTGACTGTGTCCTGTGGGAGTCCTTGGTTAATTATATTTTAAGGGGTCACTCCAGTGTGAATTACAGATTTGGATGCTTAATTAATAGGAGTAACTACCCATTCTAGGGGAAGGAGTGATTGACCGTCCCAGCTCCTGGGGGCATAGACTATTTTTCTAAGCAAATTGTACCATGAGCTGGTTTCTCATGAAATATTTATCTGCTGGGCCACTTGGGGCTGTTTGAGTGGCCCTCAGAAGGTTATTAACGCACAGAGCAGATGGAGATGCAGAGACTGTTTATTAGATTCAGACTGCCTTTTGCCATTATGCTAATGTCAATTGGACGGCAGAAAAAATTACCCTGACCCCTTCCTGTGCCTCAGCTGCCAGAGTTTGCAAAGGTGCAGCACGTGATCAGGTCCAAGAAGGCAGGGAAGCCACTGGCAACACTTCCATCCCTGTGCCTTCACCATGCTCCTTCACAGAGCTGGCTCCATTGTTTCTGGTGGTGTGGGGATGAATGCCTGTGAAGTAGCTTGCTCGTGGTCTCGGGCATGGTGCTGGACCATGCTGCAGGTCCTCTCTGTTGCTCGGCAGCATGGAAGAGGTTTATGGGGTAAAAATAGTCTCTGAGAATACAAAAGGCTTCCCCCAGCAGTGCAGAGCTGGTGGAAGGGCTGTGTCCTCACCCTGGTCCAGGTCTGTGATGTAGGTTGAAAGGGTGTTAGCAGCATGGCTGTGATACTCAAGATCTTTTCCTTCCTAGACCTTCTGGCAAAGTAAAGGTGGAGCAGCCTGGAAGTGGCTCTGACTTGTAGCATGACCATAACATCATTCAAACCAGCAAGTACATAAAGATCATCTAGAGGAACCCACCACTTCTCTCAAGCTCCTGCCCCAAATGCAGAAATTGGGCTCCGTTTTAAATTGGATAAAGAAAATAAATCAAAGACATTTATTTTTTTATAGAAAAAAGGAAGAATGGAACAAATGGTTAGCAGGAAAGCCTGGGTCAGTGTGTGTGTGTCTGTGGCCACCGCTAACAAGGAGAGCTCTCTAGATTGAGGAACAGACCTGAGCCAGTCCCTGATGCCCAGCACACTCCCAGGTTACAGCAATGAACGCTTTGGCTCTTGTTCTTCACTGCTTTTTCTTCCTTCAGGCTATGAAAGTCCTCTCCAAAAAGAAGCTCTTGAAGCAGTACGGATTTCCACGTGAGTATTTCACATCTAGAGGTCTGCCTGTTTTCCTCAGCCAGGTAAATCTTTCTGTAGAAATGTCCGCAAGGACTGCAGAACTTGGCCTCATCTGAAAGCTGCCCAAGTAGTTGGGGGCTGGTTAAAATGCAGTAGGTAATGAAAGGGCAGGCACCACAACCACAGGGAAATTCAGTGCACTTAGTAATTAGGTTCCTGGCTGTGATTTTCTGAGTCTCTCTGAAGTGCAGTGTGTTCCATGTTCACAATCTATACAGCCCGATTAAGTCCTGGAAGTTAGGAAGGGTAGACCTCCTTCTCCCAGGGGATCTCCTTCCCCCTCAGATAGCACCTGGCTCCAGTGGCTGGGCCATGGGACCTGGCAAACAGACCAGGCTGGGGAGGTGGGAGAAGCTGGTCTGAATGGGGCTTGGAAATCTCAGTTTCTAGTGGAGACGGTGATGCTAACAAGGTGATGAGATCTTCCAGAATAGCTGGAAGTATTCTGCAGAGGGGCCAGTGGCTACTCACTCCTGCAGGCTGGGTGCTGCTGAAAAATGAGTTTTTCCTCACCATGTTATCGTGATTGCAGGTCGGCCTCCTCCCAGGGGGTCAAAAGCATCCTCTGGAGAGCAGCCAAAACCCATGGCACCACTGGACAGAATCTATCAGGAAATAGCCATCTTAAAGAAACTGGACCATGTCAACATCGTTAAGCTGATAGAGGTGAGCTGCTTCTCCATCTTCAGCTATACTGAAACAAGTCTGGTTTGTACTGCAACAAAAGGATCTTTCTTCAACTGCTCCTACTTCAGCCAAAATTGGTTGGAAATAGTTGTTCAGAGATTTAGGCTGATGATTCCAAGCAAGATCATACTAATTACATATGGCAAACTGACATACTTATCCTGGGCTTTGGGCTGGTGCCCGAGAGAAGGCAGCTATCTGTGCTGATTGAGGTAGCAGCAAGCTTTGACCAGTGAAAGCCTGGGAAGGTGCACAAGTGCAAGGCTTCAGTGCCATTTTCAATATTGTCTGAGGTCAGATTAGGACAAGCAGTGCAGTTATTGGTAGGCTGTTTCTCCAAATACAGGCAGAAGCCCAGTTTTTCTGGAGACAGGAAAATTTGTGTCCTTCAAAGAACCTCTCTCTGCAGGAATCTCTAAATATTAGCCCAAGTCGTTCTCAATGCTCTGCAGCTCAGCACAGTATACAGGGAGCAGTAAAATATTATTTGATTAAAAATATCTTGATTTACTGCTGTTTTTCTTTTTCCCCTTTCCCCTTATCTCTCTGTTATCAATTACAGGTCCTTGATGATCCTGCAGAGGACAATTTATACATGGGTATGTGAGTCATTATATGCTACCAGAGCCATCTGGGCTTAGACCTAGTGATGCAAGTAATATGTACTAGGGCTCGGAGTCAATACCAGGAGGAACCTTGTACCAACTTCAGCAGAACTATTTTTTCTGAAAAGTTAAATGCCTGTTAAAGCAGCTGGGATAGAAGGACCCCTTGCAGCAGGGTGATGCAGCCTGTGTCTTGGTACAGCTGTGCACGTCCCCTTGCCATGGGGACACTAAAAAGATGTGACAGTGGCTCTGCCCTCCCCTATGTATATGTTGGTTCCAGTCCTAGAACCAGGAGAGAAGGGAAGGGTGCACAGTGGTTTCTCATCCTCCTGGTATGAGGTTGATCCCTCCAGACTCCTATTAGGCTGTGGATGGTGGTAGTGACTCGGGAAAGCAGTCTTGTCTCAGGGTGTTGCCTGTGAGCCCTGCAGAGGCACTGACCACCCTGCTGAGCCTCAGGCCCTCCTAAGATAGCAGCACTCCTGCCTTTGGCCTCTGAGCCCAGACCCTGCCGTGGGGTGCCCGGATGGGAAGCCGTAGCTGATTGTGCATGTATACAGAAGGTGGGGAATTTCCACCTATTTTGTCTTCCTTTCCCCCAAACCTTGGAAGTGCCAGCCACAGCCTAACCCTCACTTGGGCAAAACCTGGAGGGACAGGCCTGGGGGGCACTGAGATGGGCCAGAGGATGCCTGACCCTATTACATGTCTGCTTCCTTGCAACATTTCCTGATGAGACAGGCTCAAAGGCTGCTTCTCATTAAATAAATACAGGATGCTTTTGAAGCTGCCTGGGAAAGGGGGCTCTGCCTGGCAAATGAAGCTATTTGCCTTTGAAGGGGCACTTTTGCCTTTTGGCTGAAGCCCTGGTGGCACCCTGGCAGCATCGCAAAGTGACAGCCAAGGCAGTTGCACATGTGGTGGGGAGGGAGGCTGAAGCCGTTGTTTAAAGGCCTGAACTCCTGGGGATGAAGAGAAAGGAAGAGATGAGGGTAGCAAGCTTTTTTTGTTGAAAGACAATAAACCCATGAGGAAGTCTAAAAAGCTGCTGGGGGGGGAGGGGGAGTGAAGGAAGGAATTAAAACACAAGCTCTCCCTGTAAAGCAAGATAACGCTCCCAGAAATGGCAGCAAAAGCAGCAGGACAAGTGGGAAATCTCTTGGTGCCATTAGGGGTTCTGGGGAGGCTGCACTGGTCCCTGGGCAGCGGAGCAGTGGCTGTGTCAGTGTTGTCCTTGCTCCCCTTTACTCTGCCTGGGATCCCGTGAGTGGTTCAGGCAGAACCAGGCAGGCAGCAAGGGGAAGCTGTGGGTACTCAACACTGCTCAGGATTGAGCCTTCTGCAAGTGGACTTTCTCCCACCTGCTGCTGACCCAGATGATGATTACTGCACCTTTCTTCTAAAAATGTCCCCTACTACAAAGCAAAACTAGAGAAAGGGAAGGTTTCTCTTTACTAGTTACTGCTGGCATTAAGTACCGCTGTGAGCACTCTCTGCTGCATCCTCACTGGGAAGAAAGCAGGGGATGGAGGGTGCCGATAGAAATTGAGAAAACCTGCAATGGCACAAGGTGTTGAATAATTAAATATTGCCACAAGCTACAGCTTCTTCAGCCCGGAGAGCAAGATGACCCAATCAGGCTGGCTTGTTGCATTTGTACCTTCAGCTGGTCTAACGTCGCAGCTGTAAGCAGGGCTGCCTGGTGCTTTAGGGAGGGAGATCTGCTTGGATATCTTGGGAGATGCAAGAAATCCCTTAGTAATTCATGAGGAAAGAGCTATCCTACTAGACAAAGGCAGATTCTTCTCCTGTTTGCAGAACAGGTCAGAGACAGGATCAGAAAAACACATTGCCACTAACCCCATCATCAGAAACAAAAAGTCGTGCTCTGTAAACCTCAACTCACACCAACAAACCCTCTCCAGTCACTCCTGCCAGGGAGTGTTTACCTCAGACAGCCATATAGCTGTGCTGCCGATTGACACAGCAGAAATGGAGCAACATGTTCTTACAGCATCTCATTTGGTATCGGCAATTTAGCAGAAATACTACACCAAACACCCTCCCTGAAGGTACTGAATAAGATGGGGCTCAAATCAGCAAGGGCTGACACAGGGAGCAGCAGCAATGTGGTTGATAAATTAGCACCCGCTGTCTCCCTGCGTGTTGCTGGCGGGAGGTGGGGATATTTGTCTTTGCTGAAGAGATTAATATTTTCATTTTACATCCTCTGGTGTCCTTGTCATGGGTGAGGGAAGAGAATAAAGTGGAGATAAATTGATTTGCAGGTATGGGAATGGATGTGTTTTTTGTAGGTGCTAAAAAATGAATAAGCCCAGTCCCCTCTTGCTTCATTCATAGTTTGGTTTCCTTTTCTTGCAGTGTTTGACCTCCTGAGGAAAGGGTAAGTAGCCCTCCTGGGATCCCTTGTGTTTAAATTTTTGGTGTTCATCATTAGCTTCCTAGGTGAAATGGAGGTTTGAGGCATAGAGTGGGGAAAACTGCTGTCTGCAGGCAAGCACAGAGGAGGCAAAATCCAGCTGTAGTTGCCTTTGTGGTGATACAGCCTGGAATGATGTGGCAGATAGTAATGGGCTGGGAGGATGTGTCCTGGTGTCAGGCTTTGATCCAGAAAACAAATCTGATGCCAATTTCCCATCAAGTGCCTGGAATAAAAGGTTTTAATAGGAATACTCTGCTGGGGTAACAGCCGCATCGTGGTTTCCTCTGGCACAAGGGGTATGAGGTTGCATCAATGTTTACTTGCCACCCACTGCCTTATTTTGCCCCTAGCACTGACATTGTGGGAGGCTGTTTTGTTGCTGTATTCTGCTGTAGCAGAAGTGATGAGGTGGTGGGAGTCCCCTCACTGCTTTTTGCTACTGCACCTGTGCTGATTCTGCAGCTCTGCAGTGTCCCAGTGTGGTTGGGAGAGCTGTGCCCAGGATGGGGGAGATTCCAAAAGGGCTTATTTTTCTCTCTGGCCCCATGAACACGTCTTTTCAGGCTGCCAGCTCCAGCAGTTTGCTGGTGAGAGGCTCCTCAGTCTCCCTGGTGACCAGGCTGATGACTATCCTGTAGGAGAAGGGGAGAAAAAAAGCTCCTGTAATCAGCTGTGGCTGGGGAATGTGCAGTTCGGCCGAGCGCAGCCTGTCTGCCTCTAGCAGAAGGCAATTAGACTCCATTAGTGGCTGTGCCAGTCCTGCCGCTCACATTATTTCTTCCTGGTTTGAGCAGCAGAAAAACGTGCATGAAAATGGAGGGAAGGCAGTGGCAGAAAAATGCAAATGGGAGATGAAGGTCATCAATCAAATGGCAGCAAGGGAGAAGGGAGAAATGATGCAGGAAGGATTTGCTGCTGGTGCTGAGGGGAAGAGCTGCAGAGGCTGGTTTTGGCAATGGGCTATTCTCTGCCAGGGTTTGGCTTCCAAGGATTGTGTCTCAGGAACACTCGCTTGAATCCAGCTCAAGTCAGTGGGTGCGTGTCCAAATGCAAGGTCAAGCTGCTGAGCACAAGCAGGATTAACCCCCAGTACAGTGAAGTCCTTAGCTCCTGCCATTCGTCTGCTGGGGGACAGAAGATGCTGGCTAGCTCTTACAGCCTCTTTGCCCTCAGCTTTCAGCAGGCGTGGGCAGAAGAGGGGCTTTCAGAGGATACGGTGTGTGTCTCAGCAGTGGTGGCAAAGAAAGGAGAGGAGAAGCTGACCAGGTAACTGTAGCTGTTCAGGGCTGAATAGCTGACTTCTGGTGGTAGCTGAACCCTGAACAGCTAAATAGGTTTTCAGAGCAGTTTAGCACAATGCACTGGAAATATTCCCAATTAACCTTTGTGCCAGGGGTTCATGTCCAGGTTCTGCCTTGGTTTAGACTAGCTGGATTGTTGCTTCAGGACTGAGCCCCAGCGGGTATGACATCTAGTGCACAACAGCCAGCACTGTGCCCACTGCTGCCTGCTCTGTCCTGGTGACGCTGATGCTCACAGCCATGAGCAGCTTTGGCAAGAAACCAAAGGCCAGATCCCCAGTTTTGTTCTTTCACTACACTCTTCCCATTAGGACTCTCGGTGAAGTGCGTTTGCCTTATTTTGTGCAGAGAGCAGCAGTTGATCCTGATGTTGATGAGGGCTCTGTGGCTCACGCTGGCTCAGGGACTGTGCAAAACCACCCATCACCACTAGCCGAGCTCCCTAACCTAGGCATCACCACGTCCAGAAAGGCTGGCTATGCCTCCATCCTGCGTCAACACCCAGAACCTTTTGGGAGCCTGGCCCTCAATGCTGGGGATATGGTGATGGAGAACATGAAACTCCTCCAGCAAGGAATGTTCCTGCTGTTCTGCAAAGTACTTTAATTACTCTCCCTCTTCCTAACAGGCCTGTCATGGAGGTACCAAGTGACCAACCCTTCAGTGAGGAGCAGGCTCGGCTCTACTTCCGAGACATCGTCTTGGGCATCGAGTACTGTGAGTACCACCAGCACTGACAGCAGCTTTGCAGAGCGCGTGTGTCGGCCTCCTGCTCAGCTGGGGAGAAGCCTCTCGACTCTGGTGGGCTGTCAGCCCGGCAAGTGAGGTCCCCTCTACTTGCACGTGGTGGGATTTGCAGTTGGTGGTGGCCCTGCTCAGCTCAGATTTACACAGGCAATATCACAGACGCTGGGAGCAGGTGTTCCTTAGAAAGGACATTAGGAAAATAGTGGCTTCCTTTTTTTTTCTTCCATTTATCTCTTTTTGGAGATTGTCCTTGAAGGCAATAGCAGAGCCAGAAAACGTGTATTTGCAGTGACATGGGCTGAGTCAGTTAGCTTCAGCAGAACAGATTTCTGTCTCTAGCTTAGCAGGGCAAGCGCTGGCCATGGGGAGAGCTGGCGAGTGGCACAGGGAGAGTGTCTGTCCTTGTCCACTCCCTCTGCAGTGTCAGTCTGAGTGACTCCTCATCACTCAAGGCTGTGGGGTGACAAGATCCCAGCACTGCTGTGCATTCCCAGGGAGGTGGTGACTCAAGGGTGTTCCCAGGCTCCATCCAGAGACTCCAGCAGCAGGGTTCCTCTTTGTAGCCTGTTTGATTATCATCACCTTTTTTCAGTAAGTCCTTCTCCCAGTGTGGCTGAGGCCAGATTCTTTGCTGAGCACCTGTCCTGAAGAGTACAGGGAGGCCATGATAGGTCTGTAAATGACAGCAGGGATTTTTCTGGTCCCATTGTAGTTGATGTATCCCTGCTGGCATGAATCTGGCAGGGCTGGGAGAAGAGGGGTCGCTGAACTGAAGACACAAGGTAGAGTAGTCTATGTGCTGGCATCTTGTGAGCATGGGCCTGGAGGAGCAGCAAAGGCTGGCTGGTGTTTCCCCTCACGGACTGTTAGCAGAGCTGGCATGTCCACGTAACCTCTTGCTCTCTGTAGTGGGGGATGTGAGGTGGTCAGATGGTGCATTTTGCTCACTGCTGATCTGCAGACCTTGTGCTGCAGGCTTCATGGCTGGGCTTCTCTTCTAACCTGTGCCAGCAGTGGGAGGATATGAAATTTCTGGTTGCTTTATTGTCTGTAAGACAGACCTCTAAAAGTAGCAAGCACAGTAGAGCTGGGCATTTATGGGTGCAGGACACATCTGTGCCATGCAGGGGGGGTGTAGGTCAGCCTGGTGCTTTGGTGTGGCATTGGTAGCTGGCATTACTCCCATGCTGTGTCTGTATTACACTGCAAATGCCCACTCCTCCTGAGCCTCCTACCAGCATTGTCACCACATCAGAAGGTACAGCTGGGATCCTCTGCTGCTCACTCACCTTAGGGCACTGCCTTTCTCCTCAGCTCTGCTGCTTGCACTGGAGCAGTTCATGCACAGGGTGCTGCCAGGGAGCCACACAGCATGGCCTCATGTGTGAGGGGTACCCATGAGACTGCTAGTCTGCAGTTTCTGCTTCTGTACCAGCTGGGTGCATCATCAAACTACCGGTGAGCTGTGTTTATGTCTGCCTGTTTGATTCTGCTGTCCTCCTTGTAGACAGCCTTCCATAGAGTTCAGTGATCTCATCACTGACTGCTTCCGCTGCACACTGATGCACTAAAGGATTGACCATGGTTGGATGGCTGAATATGAGGAGGAAGAGTCAGTGTGGCTTTGGCAGAAGCAATTCATGCCTCATAGATCTATTAGTTTTCCAGGAGGCGGCAACAAATATGTAGATAAGGTAATCCTGTTACTACATTGTGTCTCAGTTGCTAAACAGTTTTTTATTAGATCCAATAACAGTAGCTACTAAAGAAGCTCATAAGTCTCTTTGGTTGTATGGCCTCTTGTGGATTAACAACTAGACAATCAGGAAAGTAGGAATACAGCTTTCACAATGGAGAAAAGTCACTAGTGCAGTTAAACAGGAGTCTATAATGTTGCCTGGGTTGTTCAATGTATTCCTAAATGACCATAAAAAGGGTAGAGTGCAACAAGAGAGATTGGTAATGACGTCTAGTTATTCGGGATAGTCATTGTTAGAACTGACTGCAAAGACTGGCAGGAAGATTCCATGATAGCAAGTGATAGCATGATAAAATGGCAGATAAAAATTCATGTTGCTGACTGCAGAGGTAATGCATGAGGGGGAGAAACAACACTAAAAATACATACATCGTGACAGGCTCTAAATTAGCTGTTCTCATTCAGGCTTCATTCTGGATAGTTCTCTTGAAAATGCCAGCCCATTACTTAGTGACATTCAACAATGCTAACAAAATTTGGGAAACTATTGGGAATGAAATAGAGAAGAAAACAGAAAATGTCATTATATAGTTATTGGGATCTGTAAGAGGTCTTAGGTAGAGACAAGGAGTATCTTGAATATTTTGTGCATCTCAGCTCAGCCTGTCTTAGAAACAGCTCTCTACAACTGAAGAAAGCCCAAGAAGGGTAATCAGGATGGCCCTGGAACATCTTACGTGTTTCTTAAGATTTGAAAATTTCCTTGGGAAGGGGTGATATGACAGAGGCCTATAAAATCCTAAGTGCCAGGGAAGTGGTGAACATGGAATGAATCTTCTCTGTCTCTAGAAACACGAAGAACTAAGAGGTAGCAAACAAAATAATTAGGTAGACAGTTTAAACCAGAACGAATTACTCTATGTAGTATGTAATTTAACTATGAAGTTCAGAGTTAGAGTAGATAGCAGGTACCAGAACTAAAAGGGCTCCAAGTGATTAGACAGATCTGTAGAAGAAAAAAGCATCAAGGACAATGAAATATGAGGATGCGTGCGGAGTTTGCCATCAGGCTGCCTCAAGCTGGGAATGTGGGTGCTGGAGGTGCTCATCTCTGCCTGATGCTTTTCCTGACTGTTGACCCCGGCAGGAGACGGGGTGCTGAGGTAGATGGGCCTTTGGCTCCTCTTCCATCCTCGTCTCTCCTCCAGCAGCTTGTCCACATTGTCCTTGAGGTTATCTCTGTGCTGACCTGATAGCAGGGGAAGATGCACTGTGCCAGGTTCTCTGACACTGATCTAGGTTAGCTTGGTGTCTCTCAGGCATGGCAACCTTTTATTAAACCTGGCTTGTTCTGGCAGTGCAGGTGCATGGTTTTGGTGGCACATATGAAGGCAGGGCAGGCAGCAGAGGGAGGGACAAGGACGTGTGAGCAAGCACCATCCCAGACAATGAGCAGTGCAAAGTGTGAAAGGTCAGACCTGCAAGACAGAGCCGTGTCACCCTCCCTGTGTAGTCCAAGGTGAGAATTTTCCAGCCATTTCAACCTTAGGAAATAAATAGCTGCTGCTTTCACAAACCAGAGGGAATTGTTTCAAGTGTAATTTCAAAGAGCCAACGTGTAGCTGTGTCAAACTCAAAAGTAACATTTCATGCTGCCCTAGTGCTTTGAGCCATGTCTGCCTTAATTTCACTGATCTTCAGTGGCCTTTGCAAGCTCAGCAGCTCTTCAGAGCCCCTCGCTTCTACAGGGCTTTTGTTGAAGACTCACCTGGTTTTAAACACCTGCAGAGAACAAGTCTCTGAGTGTGACGGACCTTGCCAAGGCAGAGGAAGGTGGTTTGCAGTGCCCCAGACTGTCTCCGCATAGAAATGCAACACCACCTCTTTTTGTCTAAAGCAAGTGGGTGGGAATAATATCAATGTTTGCAAGCCTGTGACAGTCCAGAAACTTCCAGGTACTGCCAAAATCAGTCAGGTCACCCCAGAAAGTTGGTAGAAATGTATATATGAATGGGAAGCTCAAGACAGTTTTTCAGTAGAGTTGGAGGCTGAAGACTGCAGCTTTTTCTCTTCTCATTAACATCCATGTTCTAGGAGAACCTATATGCCTTGGCTGGGAGATCCAGGCCCTGCTATGCTGGATGCTGCTGGCAGAACAGTTCCTGCTCAGAGAAAACTTTGAGTTTACAAGATAGTGTTTAAAAAAAAATACCAAAAAAACCCAACAAACAAAAAACCAGTAGTAAAGTGTGGGTAGTCCTCAGCAGAGGGAGTGAAACTGGGCAATAAATTATAGGATGCCTAAGCACTCCCAGCAACAGGAACAATAGGATGCTTTATTTGGGGCTATTGAGTAACTACTTATTTTATTAGAAAATGAAAGTTAAAAATGGTGTTCTCTTAGAACTGCTGGGTAAATGTGTGGCTATTATTATGTAATTAAGAGGAAAAGTGTACCATTTGTGCATGCTGAAGGAAAAGTGTTGCCAGGCAATCTAGAGATTGCAAGGTAATTTTAATGTAAGCATATATAATCGTTATGTAATTTGGGAGACTCAATAACTGTGCAGCTGCTTGAAGCTCGCAGTCATCACAGTAGCAAATGCATTTTTTTCTCATTGGGTTTTACTAAATTAGAAGTTGCAAACTGGATTCCTGTCAGAGCCTGCAGGGTGTTAATCCAGGGCAGTGTGCTGCCCTCGGTGCAAATGGTCTGTGGTGAGTGGGAAGGGGCCGCAGGGGCTGAGCTTTTAAATTACTGGTGGTGGCCGCAGCTGCTGTGTGTCTGTGGGGACTGGGCTCCACTGGTTTTTCCTAACGCTTGCCTGGGATGGAGGCCTCCTGCAAGAGGGCTGGTTCTGGGGAGAAGTGTTTGGAGGGAGGCAGTTGGTCGGTGTGGTGAGAGCAGAAACATCCCATGCCGGGTGGGAAGCCCGGCTTCGGCAGGGTGGGAGGCAGGGACAGACACCCTGGAGAGAGCCCAGAGCTCCCCTGCCCAGGCAATGGCACCGTGCCGCCTTGCTCTGTTAACTGCTTGTGGCTGGGTTTCTGTGTTTAGTACATTTAATATCGGGAAGTGCACTTTGTTACATGCAGGGACCCAGCCTCATTCACTGAGCAGTGAGGAAACAGGCAGATTCAAGGTCTGAGAGCTGGGGAGATCTGCCCGTGGTAGAGTATCCCTTCCTCCGGCCCCCGAACTGCTGGGAAAATGTTTTGAGCTGAAGCATGGTAATATTACTGGTTCACATGTTCTATTTTCATGTGCCTG